TGTTGACTTTGAAAGCTATAGGGGGACTTGTTCTGTTTTGGAAATGAAGAGCTCTGGAATTAGATATTAGGACCATATTAAATGCTTTTAGCAGCGAGTGAATAAATGTGGAGCTTGCAATAGGTTTTGGGTATTTGCAACGATACAAATGTCATGTCATATGACAGCTTCGTTAGCAAGGGGGGGGGGGGAATGTCAATTATTGTGTATTGTCAATTATTATCAAGGCATTGGACAGTGTTGGGTTAAGCGCACTACCCCTGAAGTAGACCTCTTTCACAAAGTGCAAAATTATTACTTAAAATCCCCCTTGACAAGTCTGTGGAGGTTCTGTTACTCGGTGACCCCATTGATCCATACCAACAGGCTTCCCTTAACTTCAAAGAGCCTTGTTCTAAAATTAATTCAGTTTGGAGATCAATAAATGCCGCCTGAGAGCTCGGTCCCTGCCTAATAAAATATTCAGCAAAGCTTCTGCCAGGAAGGAAACACACAGTTAGGGTGTAGTTTGAATTATTAAACAATAGAGTATAATCCTTCCAAGAACTTTGCACACAAAACATGTCAGATTGATTTTTTTTAAAGATTATCTTGAGATGATTTCGGGGATTTAGTGTCCCCGCGGCCCGGTCTTCGACCAGGCCTCCACCCCCAGGAAGCAGCCCGTGACAGCCGACTAACACCCAGGTACCTATTTACTGCTAGGTAACAGGGGCATAGGGTGAAAGAAACTCTGCCCAATGTTTCTCGCCGGCGCCTGGGATGGAACCCAGGACCACAGGATCACAAGTCCCGCGTGCTGTCCGCTCGGCCGACCGGCTCCGTCAAGATGTGGACATTGTCACAACCAAAACCCAAGTGACATTGGCATTGTTCAGGGTCACGTAAGAGACCTTGCCTCAGATTGAGTCCTCTGTTGGAACCATTTAGTCTCATTCTCAAATCGACTTGAGAATGGTCCAGGACGGACCGAAACGTCGTCGTCGTCCCTTCATTTTCTAGTGTGTGGTGTGGTCAAGAAGCCAGATGGTGTTGTATATCGAAGGGTAGGACTTTGGTACTGGCAGTGCTTGCATATTGCTCGAGCAACATATCCACGTACTTTGCCTTAGAGTGGTGAGCAAGTTGGGGACTGCAAGGGTGCAAAGTTTTTTTTATTTTATCCAACATTTGGGATGTTTGCATGAATTGGATGCCTTGCAAAAAGTGCTTCCAGTACTGGTTATATACACGTGCTTTCTAAGGCTGGCATTAAGAAATGTGTTGAGGGGTATCGGATGTGTTTTTATCCAGTTAATGTCACGTTTACAAATATATTTAGGTACTTCACTTGTGCAACTACCCTAGACTATATGAAGGGCTACATAGTGTGCCAAGAGTTACTAGCTACATACTAAAGAGAAATCCCCATGCATTTTGTTTATTAATACATTAGGTACATCTACATTTGTGCAGCTACCCTAGACTATATGAAGGGGAGTACAGTGTCAAAAAGCTGGCTACGTGGACCCCATTGTGGTCACAAACAAGTCTGCGGGCATTCGAACCCCATTTTAGTTCATCTCCGCTTGCTATTCTGAAGACTGGCATCTAGTAGAGAATAGAACGTTTAGTAATATTTAATGATCAGTATATAAGGGACTTTTTCCATTCAGTGGCCAGTGGAAAAAGAAGCCTCGCTTGTGTATCATTATGCTTCTAGCCTCTTGAAGATATCTATGGTTGAGGTTATTGATATTTCAGGGCTTAGCGTCCCCGCGGCCCGGTCCTCGTGTTATACTCAAATTCATGTCAGTTGAAATGTAACCAATCACAGGAAAGTAGGCCTCTGACGTCATGCCAGACAGAGGAGCATCAAACCATGCTCCCAGCAGCCTCAGTTATCCTCAGAGACTCAGAGTAGAAGGACCTCGGCTGGATAGTTATACACCTGTTTGTCTCGCTCAATAAATATATACAGAAGCGACTACTGTGTCTACATTCAACCCGAACAAGGCAAACGAATACTCGACCAGGCCTCCTTTTTTTGTTCACATCCCCAGGAAGCAGCTCGTAGTAGCAGGGCGGGGACACTACAGCCCCGAAATCATCTCAAGATAACCTCAAGATAGCATTCGAATGTTTGTTGTAATGATTGTCTTTCCTTTGTCTTACCATATTGATTCATGCAACCACTGCCTGTTGTTATTTTTGGATTTAGTTACTCAGAACTAAATATCCATGTAGCACGGGCTATGGTGAGCCCGTAATTAAGTTCGGTTATTCGCGATAACCTTGTTACTGTGATATTTGGGTCAAAGTTTTTAAATGGAGGTGGGGATTCCTCCTTTTCCCCCCCCCCCCGTTTCTTTTTTGTTTCTGTTTTAGTGCACTGGTTTTGGTCTTGTTTTAATAACATCTTGGTGGCGGATGTAGATGCAGAATGTTCATTAGTAAGTCCCATTCCTCAACGGCTTTTCTAGTCATTGTAGTGGCTGTAGAATGTGCATCTAATGCAGCTGCTGTCGTTGGATTAATGTTGAGTTTGATGCGCGGGGCTTCAGTAGCTTTACAGTCCAGTAAGTAGTGCGATAGTGGCGCCTCTGCTTCTGTTCCACAGATGTGACACTCTTTAACTATTGGGTTTATTACCTCCCAGCAGCACTTGTAACCAAGTCTGAGTCTGTGTATGGCTACTGCAATGTCTCTGGATATCTTGAAATAGTAGTACCCAGTGGCTTGTTCGTACCATATCGTAGTGGATCTTCCTTCCGCTACTTTGACTCTGTGCCGACTTTTGATAGTATTTTCTTCTTGATTTGCTCCTTAATCTGTGAAAAACTTGGAGGTATTTGAACCTGTACAACAGGTAGAACAGTGGCAGTTGTTGCTAGTGAGTCTGTCTTTACATTACCATCTATGCCAATGTGACTTGGTATCCAATTTAGGGTGACTGACAGCCCTAGATTATGGATTTCTTTTCCTATATGTTGGATTTCTGTGAGGAGTTGTATATTATCTCTGTGTTGACTGGATAACAATGCCTGGAGCGAAGATTTAATCAGTATGAATGATGACATGTAAATTATTCTCAATTGTATAGTTTATGGCCTCCTTCAGGGCATATAATTTGTTTGCAATGTTGAGCAGCCACTATTCATGCTCCAGTAAGCTTCATGGTTGGTAGTGCAAACTGCTGCCCCAGCAGAACCTCTTTCTTGATCAACTGATCCGTCTGTGAAGATGCGAGTCGCTGTAGGTCTTGAGATGGTTTCCATTTGTCGTTCTATGACTGCTTTGAGCCTCTGTGAGTCACATGCTGATTTTTAAACTGGTAATCCTTCAATGATTATCTTTTAGACTCGATTCTTCCCGTGGAGGAGGCTGCCGAAAGTGTTGATATGGTCTATCTTCCCCTTTGTTTTTAATGGTCCATTTCAGGTCCACTTTCTCTAGACTCTTGACCAGATTATCCGTCCATGTACTTGTTCAACCACTGCCGATGTGTTTACTCTAAATACTGTTGTTGTTTTAGCTACTCAGAACGAAGTGTCCATGTAGCACGGGCTATGGTGAGCCCGTAATCTAAACACCCTAAATGCATGAGTGTTTATACGCAAGGGGTGAAGTGCTTTGAAGTACTTTGTTTTTAGTAAGCATTGAAAGTTAGAGGAGGGGGGGGGGTTGGAAACGAAAGCGAATTCTCAAAAGGATTTTGTTTTTTAAAATTTCGGTATTCTGCTGTTCAGATAGAGCTTGAACGTAGCTACGCATCGATCTATATCACGATATTGGTTACAGCCATGTAACATCTTGCCACATTTTTTCCCCTATTATTTCATAAAAGACCCTCTGTTTAATTTTCAGTGTACGAAGTCTGATGTATACACAATTTGCCATTGAGGGCATATCTGCGAAATGGGAAGATTTTGATGTAAATTTGTCCTTTTATAAGAACGAACGTTTATATCCTGTGTGTTTTGGAAAATTATTCCCAACCCCGCACATGCGGAAGGAAAGTGACGACCTTTCGGCCCTTCGTCACTCACACACAGAGATCACAGTAACGTGATGCATCAAATGAACAAATCCACAAGGGCCGTGACGAGGATTCGTAGCTCAGTCGATTAAGGCAGTGTCTGGGATGCTCCCGGACGCAGGTTCGAATCCTCGTCACGGCCCTTGTGGATTTGTTCATGAGTCACTGTTTGCATGTGTGAATTGGTTAATATTCAGCCACATTGTGACTGGTTCTCTCAGCATATTAGGGATATATTCTTTAGTTCACACGCTTCTAAAACGCGTCTCCTGTCTATTGAGAGAACCAGCCGTGATTACCACAGAGGGCGCAGATTGATTGAAGATTAAGCCACCCAAATGGTGGCATGGGCATGAATAGCCCGTAAGTGGTGGCCCTTTGGAGCCATTACCAGTATCATTAGCTGATACTGGAGGTCTGTGGAGGTGCGACTGTTACCCTACGGAGAGGTCGTGACCTCTGGAGAGGGTGTGTGCAGGTTTTGCAACACTAACTATAGTGAAAATGGTTAAATGAGTTTGAGTGTAAGTGCTAGTTGACGCTAGCGTGTCTGATCTTTGTCTTGCTGTTTGCCTGAATGAGTGTATTTCTATAATACGTTTATTTATACAATTTTTCCTTAAAACCATTATCCATCTTGACTCTTTAAATTCCCAAACTAAAATTATCACATGACCCTAAAAACTCGGTTATTATAACAATTGTTTTTTTTTAATCTAGACCAATTTATTTTTTCAGAGTATTGTTGGTTTATAAAAGTTCTCCGAGATAATCTGTGTAATCTGTGTAATCATCTTTGTGTGTGTTTTATCTCAATAAACTTATTTCAATTTCAATCTGTGTAGTAGTAAATATAAGCGAAAAGTTTGCAGTTAAAACACGCAATTAACAAAAAATTTCCCCTAACATTGAGGTTCAAACAGAATTGTCTTTAACAGAGATGACTTTATTGTGTGACCTGAAGTGACTCCATCTCTTGCAGGTGCTGTATGTGTGCAAAGGGATGAGTAGCAGTGTGGGGGAGGCGATGGCCGCAGCCAGGGACCGGGCCACAAGATACTCCAGCGTCCAGCAGGATACGACCCTTGGCTTCCCTTACCAGGTCCCCCGGCCAGACGGGGAGGAGAGACATCACACCAGAAAACATATCACTGGCTCAGAACAGGTAGAATGTTTTTTACGGGCTCACCATAGCCCGTGCTACATGGACACTTCGTCCTGAGTAGCTAAATCTTTAACAGGAGGTAGAATGTGTGTGTGTGTGTGTGTGTGTGTGTGTGTGTGTGTGTGTGTGTGTGTGTTTACGGGCTCAGTATAGCCCGTGCTACATGGACATGTTGACCAGACCACACACACTAGGAGAAGGGACGACGATGACGTTGTTTCGGTCCGTCCCTGGACCATTCTCAAGTCCACAAGTCCACAATCCAAGTCCAATGAGAATGGTCCAGGACGGACCGAAACATCGTCGTCCCTTCACCCTTCTAGTGTGTGGTCTGGTCAACATTCTTCAGCCACGTTATTGTGCTTCATCGCCTGTACATGGACATTTTGTTCAGAGTAGCTAAATCTAAAACAGGCGGATAATATCTGCGTGTTAGTAATCTATTGGTTTATGACAAAAGTTCTATGGTTTCAGGGATGTTAATGGATATTGCAGTTTCATGTTGTTTATTCTTTAGGGTGGTTTGAACTTGAAGTTCATTGTAGACATACGTAGCAGAAATTTATGTACGAAGAAAGAATCCTAATTGCTTGGTAATGTAGATATTGACAATTTAATTTGCTAAAGGTCAATAGTATTTATTAAGATATCTCTCCGTTGTGTAATATTGTACTCGATGAGGCAAAAGGAATACTTGGCTATACTGTGTATTTCAAAGCCTTAGTAGCACCAGGATCTTAATGTTATCCTGATTTGGATAAAATGTAGCTTGGCTCGCCGTACTACAGAATAAACACATTCTCCTGAAACGTACAATAATGACGGACTGTTCGAATTTTTTTTTTCCAAATAATGCGAGGACAAGTGTGTACATAATTTTGAACAGTAATTTTGACGTTACCGACCACAGCCTCAGAATTCCGGTACTTTAGTGAAATGTAACCCTTTTCTCCGAATAGACAGTAAGTTTTAATACTAAATGTAATAAGTACATTCCTGACTGTCTGCATAGTACATAAACACACTTAAGAGTGCTGTTACATTTGCCTCCCCATATATTCTCATTTTCTGTTAATACTCAAAATTTTTAGGTTGAATTTTTCGTGTTCAATTCTATATACAGTACACAAGTTTTAAATATAAAGAATTTCTTTGTTTTATTAAACAATTAGAGATTTTATACAAAATTTGAAAATATCATGAGTTACTTTATAATTTCTTGAAAGACTTTAGTTTTGTTTTATTAGTTTTATAAAATTGTAATATCAATATAGACATAGGTTGAGTGAATGGTCCAACAAATGGCTGTTGAAGTTCAACCCGAGTAAATGCAAAGTAATGAAACTAGGCAGTGGAAACAGGAGGCCAGACACAGGATACAGAATAGGAGATGAAGTACTTAATGAAACGGAGAGAGAGATCGAGAGATCTAGGAGTTGATATCACACCAAACCTGTCTCCTGAAGCCCACATAAAGAGAATAACGTCTGCGGCATATGCGAGGCTGGCTAACATCAGAACAGCGTTCAGGAACCTGTGTAAGGAATCATTCAGAATCTTGTACACCACATATACAAGACCAATCCTGGAGTATGCGGCCCCAGCATGGAGCCCGTACCTTGTCAAGCACAAGACGAAGCTGGAAAAAGTCCAAAGGTATGCCACTAGACTAGTCCCAGAGCTAAGAGGCATGAGTTACGAGGAAAGGCTGCGGGAAATGCACCTTACGTCCCTGGAGGACAGAAGAGTAAGGGGAGACATGAACACAACCTACAAAATCCTCAGGGGAATCGACCGGGTAAACAAGGATAAACTATTCAACACTGGTGGCACGCGAACAAGGGGACACAGATGGAAACTGAGTACCCACATGAGTCACAGGGACATTAGAAGGAACTTTTTCAGTGTCAGAGTAGTTAACGGATGGAATGCATTAGGCAGTGATGTGGTGGAGGCTGACTCCATACACAGTTTCAAATGTAGACATGATAGAGCCCAGTAGGCTCAGGAACCTGTACACCAGTTGATTGACAGTTAAGAGGCGGGACCAAAGAGCCAAAGCTCAACCCCCGCAAGCACAAATAGGTGAGTACAAATAGGCGAGTACACACACTCACTCACTCACTCACTCACTCACTCACTCACTCACACTCACTCACTCACTCACTCACTCACTCACTCACTCACTCACTCACTCACTCACTCACACTCACTCACTCACTCTTAATCACATTAAACAAACCATTCGGCAATCGCCCTGGTAAAACCATTTCAAAAGAAATGTACTCTTAAGTAAAATGTATTAGGTAGTGGCATGTCAGTTCACTAACACCTGTAAAATGTATTAGGTAGTGGCATGTCAGTTCACTAACACCTGTAAAATGTATTAGGTAGTGGCATGTCAGTTCACTAACACCTGTTTAATGTAATAACACACAAACCAGAAGGCACTTCATAAACACCTAAACCACTTCGAAACAATATACAGGGCAATAACAAGAGTAATCGGATATAGCTGCCAGTCGCACACTTCTCTTCTAGTCAAAACTGTAGTTTCAAAAACCTGTTAACTCCACTGACTCACTCCTCCCACTAGTTTCTGCCGGTTATGCAAGTAACCGTCCAGTATAGATAATTTTTTCAAATTAGCATCTCCTAGTCACACATTCCCAACGATTCGGACACGTGTAATTGATAACCTGCCACAGTCCAATAATACATAGTGTTTTAGAGGTAAGCTTAACATGCTTAACATTAACGTACAGTTAGACAAGACGGCAACGTCGCCTTACACAACCCAGCATAATTGCTACACATCACAACGGCTACCGAATTGACCGGCGCAGTTTCCAGCTTTGTACAATATTATAATTCTTTAATTTATGTAAATTAAACTTGCAATTTAAATATAATTATTCACCAGAATCTCCTAGAAATTCTTCAATATACTGTACTAATTATACAATTCATAATCTTGAATACATGTTTCCATAGGCCTACCTTGATAGGCAGGCAAATGAACGTTAATATTAAAATTTGATACGCAATTAGGATCTACATAAGGCGACAATAAAATAGTAACGATCTAGGGGAAAACAATTAGCATATGTCTGAATATTCTCATGAAAACGTTATTTTAAATTACTAAAGTAACATTTTAGTATAAGCAACAACTCATTTAAAATGCCCACGATGATATGCAAATTTTAGCCATTCTTGGCCTTAAAGCCTAGTCATCAGCCCTCCCAAATAGGTCACATTTAATACTATTAATAAATTTATAGACAATGCTGTAAGCCTTATACATTCCCAGGCCTACTATAGTGCACATGTACTATATATATTAGTCGAGGATTGATAGGATAGTTTACGGGCTCACCATAGCCCGTGCTACATGGATATTTCGTTCTGAGTAGCTAAATCTAAAACAATAATAATAACGACGGATAGGATAGGTTAGGTGTAGGTTCTTTCGTTACTCTCAAATTTTGTACTTGTTAAAATGTTGAAATCTGAATCGTTTATTAAAAACAAAAATAATGGAAAGAAGTCCTGCTAAGCATTCGCCAGAAGGCACGTTACTCACACCTAATATGCAGATTTGTTTTAAAGAAAGAAAAATAGCTATTTCTTGTTTAATTTGTTCTTGTCTGTAGTGCTGAGACACCATAAGAGGTTAAACCCTAGTGTCTAAATACTGAATATCCTGTTGGTCATAAAATATAATATCCCACCATAATATTTTTTCAGAGTCTTATCTTCAGGTGAGGACTATCCTCGGATGCCCCCCCCCCCCATACAACACAATAGGCTACAGCAATATATCCTGTGTGTAGGTGATATATATCATTGAAACCAATACTTTTATTAGCATCAAGATGCTTAGACTAACCAATGTGGAGGAATAAGATGGTGTGTTCTCAAAATTCAGTACAGTAACAGTGAATTTCCTTTCAATTTGATTAAACGATGGAAATGGACGGGTAAACGGCGGGATTAAGTATCAAAAGTATATGGAAACGTTTCTCCAAATTTAATTTAAGACGTTATAAAAATTGTATGGTTGACTGGTGTATATAAATATAGATTTTTTAAACGGTGATACCTCGGTCGACCTCTGACTGGCTTGTGACATATATAAATCCGCTCCCCCCCCCACCCCAGTGTGTAATCCCTCCCCCGCCCACCCCAGTGTATCATCCCTCCCCCCTCACACCCCCAGTGTATCATCCCTCCCCCCCCACCCCAGTGTGTCATCCCTCCCCCCCTCACACCCCTAGTGTATCATCCCTCCCCCCCTCACACCCCAGTGTGTCCTCCCTCCCCCCCCTCACACCCCTAGTGTATCATCCCTCCCCCCCTCACACCCCAGTGTGTCCTCCCTCCCCCCCACCCCAGTGTGTCATCCCTCCCCCCCTCACACCCCTAGTGTATCGTCCCTCCCCCCCTCACACCCCTAGTGTATCGTCCCTCCCCCCACCCCCAGTGTGTAATCCCTCCCCCCCACCCCAGTGTGTCATCCCTCCCCCCCTCACACCCCTAGTGTATCATCCCTCCCCCCCCTCACACCCCTAGTGTATCATCCCTCCCCCCCTCACACCCCAGTGTGTCCTCCCTCCCCCCACCCCAGTGTGTCATCCCTCCCCCCCTCACACCCCAGTGTGTCATCCCTCCCCCCTCACACCCCAGTGTGTCATCCCTCCCCCCCACCCCAGTGTGTCATCCCTCCCCCCCTCACACCCCTAGTGTATCGTCCCTCCCCCCTCACACCCCAGTGTGTAATCCCTCCCCCCACCCCAGTGTGTCATCCCTCCCCCCCTCACACCCCTAGTGTATCATCCCTCCCCCCTCACACCCCTAGTGTATCATCCCTCCCCCCCCTCACACCCCAGTGTGTCCTCCCTCCCCCCCACCCCAGTGTGTCATCCCTCCCCCCTCACACCCCAGTGTGTCATCCCTCCCCCCCACCCCAGTGTGTCATCCCTCCCCCCCTCACACCCCTAGTGTATCATCCCTCCCCCCCCCACCCCAGTGTTTTATCCCTCCCCCCACCCCAGTGTGTCATCCCTCCCCCCCACCCCAGTGTATCATCCCTCCCCCCCACCCCAGTGTATCATCCCTCCCCCCCACCCCAGTGTATCATCCCTCCCCCCCCACCCCAGTGTGTCATCCCTCCCCCCCTCACACCCCTAGTGTATCATCCCTCCTCCCCCCCACCCCAGTGTATCATCCCTCCTCCCCCCCACCCTAGTGTGTCATCCCTCCTCCCCCACCCTAGTGTGTCATCCCTCCTCCCCCCCACCCTAGTGTGTCATCCCTCCTCCCCCACCCTAGTGTGTCATCCCTCCTCCCCCCCACCCCAGTGTGTCATCCCTCCTCCCCCCCCACCCTAGTGTATCATCCCTCCTCCCCCCCCACCCCAGTGTCATCCCTCCTCCCCCCACCCTAGTGTATCATCCCTCCTCCCCCCCCACCCCAGTGTCATCCCTCCTCCCCCCACCCTAGTGTATCATCCATCCTCCCCCCCCCACCCCAGTGTCATCCCTCCTCCCCCCACCCCAGTGTGTCATCCCTCCTCCCCCCCCACCCCAGTGTCATCCCTCCTCCCCCCCCACCCCAGTTTTTTTTTTTTTTTTTTTTTTTTTTTTTTTTTTTTTTTTTTTTTGGAGTAAAGAGGAAGGAGAGGCATAGGTGAAGGGAAGTATAGAAGTGGGAAATACAGTGAGAGGTATGAAAGCAGGCGGGCTGTCCGCCTTGCTGACACGATGTGTGGGTGTTGGCAGCTAAGCTAAGCTGGCTCCCTCTTGTCAGGGAGCTGTGAGTGTGTGAGAGGTTCTTCACATGTGTTTCACCATATATGGATGTCCATAGATGAATACTGTGAAGCATTCATATATAGACACTCCGATGCTTCCACACACGGTATTCTGTTTAATGCTCTTTATTTTATTATTATTATTTATCGAGTTGTCATACATATTATTTATCGAGTTGTTCATACATACACATATATGAACTGTTCATATATATACATATATAACTCATCTTGGGATTATATACTGTGGGGCGGGGTTTTCGTCCAGAGAATCGAGGCTCCTGGGCCACCAGCTGTGGGAGCGGGGCGTCTCATCTTGGAGTAATCTTTCAAACATTGGGTCCTCTAACATTTCGATGGTGTTCCATACCCTGATGGCTTGGTGCTGCAGTCTGATGTTTAGTGGCTGTATGTTCAGGAGTTCGTGGAGCTCCTGGATTGTCTGATCATATGGTGGACGGTGTTTTGCTGCTCTCCTTAGCGCCTTATTTTGTACTGCTTGCAGTTTCTGCATGTTAGTTTTCTTTATGGTGTGTAGTGGTACTGGGGGATATTCTAGATGCGGCCGAACTAGAGCCTTATATAGGTGGATCTGAATGTTAGTACTGAGGCTTCGGAATCTTCTCAGTTTTCCTAATGCTGCTTTGGCTTTGTTTAGTCGGTCCCTTACATGAATTTGTATCCCTGTTCTATTTATCATAAGTCCCAGTATTCTGCCTACCTCCGCATATTGGATGGGCTGGTTATCAAGGATGATGGGGTCAGGGTTTCTTTTCGCAATGTGTATTATTTGGAACTTTTGTTTGTTGGTGCTAATTTTCCATTGCTTCTCAAAGTTGTTTATGAGTTCAATGGCTGCCTTGGTCTTGTCGGCTAGTAGCGGCTTTGATGGGCCCGGTTGGCATATTATTTGGGTAACATCATCAGCGTATGTGATGTATTCTCCATGTTGGGGTTGGGGTAGGTCAGCTGTATATATGTTGAATAGAGTGGGGGAGAGGCAGCTTCCTTGTGGTACTCCGCTTTTCAGTTCTATTACGTCACCCAAGTAGCTGCCGATATTAAGCCTAGCAGTTCTATTGTCTATAAAGCTGCAGAGAGTAGCTGTAAATCTCTCAGGAAGTCCTAGTTCAGATATCTTATATTTTAGGCCTGTGTGCCACACTTTATCGAAGGCTTTCGAGACGTCCCTAAGCCCAGTGTGTCATCCCTCCTCCCCCCACCCCAGTGTATCATCCCTCCTCCCCCCCCACCCCAGTGTATCATCCCTCCTCCCCCCCCACCCCAGTGTGTCATCCCTCCTCCCCCCACCCCAGTGTATCATCCCTCCTCCCCCCCCACCCCAGTGTGTGGCTTGCCTCACCCAACTTTACAAGCATCTAGAGAAACATTGTTCTATAGATTCACAGTACAGGAGTAGGTTGTGTTTTAAGGGAGGGTTTAAATGGGTACAAACTATTGGCGACTTGCCCAATTCAGTATTTAATATACCCACATTAATGTACTATATTATAGGTTCTACATGTACTGTAATATGTGAAGTTGAGACGACCAAAAATTAATGTTACTGGAGAGTCCAAAAAACATGTATGCATGCATGTGTACATATATGTGTATATATATATATATGTACATATATATATATATATATGCATGTGTGTATATAAATATATTTTTTATGCTTTTATGTTTTCTAGAATATATATAAATGTATGCAGGCGATGAGTCACAATAACGTGGCTGAAGTATGTTGACCAGACCACACACTAGAAATTGAAGGGACGACGACGTTTCGGTCCGTCCTGGACCATTCTCAAGTCGATACAATCGACTTGAGAATGGTCCAGGACGGACCGAAACGTCGTCGTCCCTTCAATCTCTAGTGTGTGGTCTGGTCAACATATATAAATGTATGCAACAACGATCACAAACACTGATCCAAGTATGTGGGAAAAACCACATGTGAAAAACAGAGAATGCTAAACGCGTTTTCGGCTTGATTCACCTTCATCAGAGCATTTTAGATTCTAAAATACTCTGATAAAGGTGAATTGAACTGAAAGCACATTTAGCAATATCTGTTTTTCACATGTCGTTTTTCTGCACAAGTATATATGTAAGTATACAAGTGTGTGTACGTATATTTGTTTGATTAATTAAATTAATGTGTGTAACACACAGATAACCTATAAATTGTGAGAAATCTTTAAAGAATTCTGATAAAGATCTATGGGTGGTTCTAGATAGAAAACAATCACCTGAGGACAACGAACAAATCCACAAGGGCCGTGACGAGGATTCGAACCTGCGTCCGGGAGCATACCAGACACTGCCTTAATCGACTGAGCTACGACAGGATTAAGAGTTGAAACCGAAGTTCTACTGAACTTACTGAATCCCATAGCCTCTCCGAGAGACAAACCAGGATTTTACACATTCATGGCCCTTGTGGATTTGTTCATTTGATGCATCACATTAGTGTGATCTGTGTGTGTAATGATGTAAGGGCGAAGAGGGAGAATGGCCTATTGACATAGCTCGGGTGCAGGGGGGAGTTGTGTAAAATCCTGGTTTGTGCCTCGGAGAAGCTACGGGATCCAGTAAGTTCTGTAGAACTTCGGTTTAAACTCTTAACCCTGTCGTAGCTCAGTTGATTAAGGCAGTGTCTGGGATGCTCCCGGACGCAGGTTCGAATCCTCGTCATGACCCTTGTGGATTTGTTTTGTTCATTTGATGCATCACGTTAGTGTGATCTGTGTGTGTACCCGAGGACAACATAAAGAACATTCTGCGAGGAGCCTATGCCACGCTTTCTAACTTTAGAATTGCTTTTAAATACATGGTGAAATACTAAAGAAATTGTTCACGACTTTTGTTAGGTCAAAACTAGAATATGCAGTGTGATGCTCATATCTTAAGAAGCACATAAAGAAACTGGAAAAGGTGCAAAGACATGCTACTAAGTGGCTCCCAGAACTGAAGGGCAAGAGCTATGAGGAGAGGTTAGAGAACTAGAAGACAGAAGAAAGAGGTAATATGATCACTACGTACAAAATAGTAACAGGAATTGATAAAATCAATAGGGAAGAGTTCCTGAGAGGTGGCACTTCAAGAACAAGAGGTCATAGATTTAAACTGACTAAACAAAGATGCCGAAGAAATATAAGAAAATTCACTTTCGCAAACAGTGGTAGATGGTTGGAACAAGTTGAGTGAGGTGGTGGTGGAGGCCAAAACCGTCAGTAGCTTCAAAGCGTTATATGATAGTGCGGGGTAGACGGGACACCACGAGCATAGCTCTCATCCAGTAACTACACTTAAGTAATTACACTTTGGTAATTACACACACACACACACACACACACACACACACACACACACACACACATGCGCATGTGTGTGTTAACCTAGTTGTGCTTGTGGGGGGTTGAGCTCTGGCTCTTTTGCCCTGCCTCTAAACTGTAATAAACTGATTTTTTTCCACACAGTTGCTCACTCACTCACATTTGTACAATAATATAGGGAGTTGTTATTTTCCTTGATTTTTTTTTGTTTATATAGTATGAGGATAGTTGGATGAATAGTATTAGAATTTGTATCAATATATGATTTAAAAATGCTTTCCCTGAAATTAAAAATTTTTGCCCACAATGTCATGAGTATACCGTATTCCACACTTAAATATTGGATAGTTTAGACAATTTTGTATAAATAGTAATTTTCAATGGTTAAGTTTAATATTTAGTTGCCATATCACTGATTAATTACACTGACTATTTTTCAGGAGGCAGAGATAATGAGGGAGTACATAAAGCCACCAGCCAACAAGACCCTGTTTGATGTAGATTGTGATGGTCCCCATCGATCATGCTCGGTTGGAGTATTTCCTACACAAACGGAGTGTGGGGTGGCACATGCTGGCATACATCACCATCGACATTCTGCTCCCCTTGATGCTAGATCCTCGCATCACCCACCAGTGTCTGCGTCATCGTCATCGTCATCTTCGTCGTCATCCTCGCTGCCAGGGTGGGGATGTGGGGATGAGGGTCGGGGATCACCTAGAAGGGGGCGAAAAGCTGGAGGTATGGTTCAGAGATCACCATTAATGGCTAATTTGTCGCCATTTTCATCCAAATGTGAGCGGTCGTCTCACACCTCCCAACAAGAGGAATGTCGAAGAGGTCGGCACCAAGGAGGGTTGGGGACCAGCTCCCCGTCCCCTTCACATGACCCTAGCATCCCCTTGCCCTACTGCCCATCAACTAGCACCCTGGCAGACATTACCATGGTACCAGTGCCGTGTGGACCCTCAATTCATAGTCCAAGCTCCAGTCATCCTGGAGACCCAGGTGGCTCCCATGGAGCTCACATGGGTAGCTTAGGCATACAGGGGGACCTTCTACACACCTATGGACAATCCTCACAGTCGCCCTGTAGTCTAACTGCAAACCATGACCTTCCGCCCTTATATAGTGACGTGATAGAAAATTCCAGCTTATTTACAAGTGCTAGTAGACCCTCGGAACAAAGGACAAAGAGTGGGGAAATATGACCACCAAGTCTTTTACTTAGTCTTTCAAACATACTTTACAATATCACTTAAGATGTACTTGTTGTAATGAAATTTGTTATATCCCTTGGGATGTGATAGTGTGATACGTGATACAGCGCTGAAGCCAGCAGGTGTCTTGGTGCTCAGTGGTGGCGAGCTAGTGTTCAGGCTCGCTCCTGTGCATAACCAACTGCCAGCGTGCATGTACACTCGGGCAGACAGGTGCAGTCCTGCCTTGTGCATAAGTGTGTGCATGCAAGGAGGGCAGGTAAGATGTGGTAATGGGCTCGCCTGTGGCGAGACCACTGCACATGGGAACCAGAGCAGTTGGGACCAGCTGCTGTTCTGATGGATGAAGGAATCACCAGTGCCTGGGGTCCAAAGGACCAGTGCTATGGGTGTCTGGCAGCAGTGCAGCTCTGCCACACTGCTGTGCACTGCTTACAGTCACCAGTTATGGCTCAGTGTATTGTAAGAGTGCTGCAGCATTTCCAGGGCCAAGTCCCATATGTGATAGGCCTTCTCTCTTTATCTCACTGAACAGGTGATGAAGTGTGGTGCGTGGCAATGGCTGTGGGAGTGTGGCTGGGCAACCTGTAGATGGCATGACAGGCAGACCAGGGACTCGGGGAACACTGCAAAAGCCTAGCTTGTTATTACTAGTTTTAATTGCAAGCATAAAAATTGCTTTTATTGTATTGATGTGAAATATTGTTAAAATTTAAGGTAAAGTTCCCTGGGACTAGGTTGGGTTAGACAGGTAGGTCTTGTAGGTGTGGGAAAATGCTGGCAAGTGGGAGGAGGGGAGATGGGGGGGGCAAGTGTTTTAATTTTTGCTTTTTATTTTTATTTTGTTTAGCTTGTTCCCTCTCCCGTATGTTGTATAGTAGTCTAGCACAAGAGGTGGATGGTCATGCCGTATTATATACCTTATACCTTGCCTCCATAAATGATTGCGTGTGTGCATATGAACATGCATGTACACACATTATGTACACCTCAACAGGCTTGATTGATTAGTGGGCAACTTGTACTGTTATTCCACTGCTGTGTGCGCGTGTGTTTGTGTGCAGGTGTGTGCGTGATATATATATATATATATATATATATATATATATATATATATATATATATATATATATATATATATATATATATATATATATATATATATATATATATATATATATATATATATATATATATATATATATATATATATATATATATATATATATATATATATATATATATATATATATATATATATATATATATATATATATATATATATATATATATATATATATATATATATATATATATATATATATATATATATATATATATATATATATATATATATATATATATATATATATATATATATATATATATATATATATATATATATATATATATATATATATATATATATATATATATATATATATATATATATATATATATATATATATATATATATATATATATATATATATATATATATATATATATATATATATATATATATAAAAAATATGTACATGTATATACTGTATATGTATAAAGGTGTGCGTGTCATACCTAATAACCAGAACGCACTACTGGGCTTACTATGCAAGACCTGATTTGCCTAATAGGCAGTCATTTTCGTTATTTTCAAAAAATTTCCATTAGGTTTATTTGAAATGTTATACTTGGAATTGAATTACTGACTTGTTAGTTTAGCTATGGTTAAGGGGGCCTAATGCCTAAAACTAAAAATTGTTCAATGTTAACCAATATTTTTTGACTAGTAGTATATGAAAAGCGCTACAACTGTTCCATGTTTCAGTATCACAGCCTAAATAGAAAGGGAGGAAAAAAAATAAAAGAATTTTACACATTTTCAATAATTCTGTACAACCACAAGTTTCAAATGAAATCATTTCTATGACAAGCATCTATCACATTAACATATAATAAAGGATTTCTATAAAACAGGGTTTCCAAAATGTCTAGTTTTACTAATACAAATATTCAAAGTTCCCCAAAAAATTATGCAAATATTTCATGTTTATAAACATTTATAAAATCAATAAATGAACTTAGGAATAAAGTTTCATTTAGGGATTGTAGACACACAAACTCTACGTATAAGGTGTAAGTTTCATGTAAATTGAATAAAAAATGAAAGTAGTCACTTTTATGTTACTTGACAATAAATGAAGTCAAAGATTCTGCCACCTGTGGCTGAGGTTGACATCAACCAATTTCCTCCAAAATTGACATCCCTACAGATAGCCAAATGTTCAGTAAGGTGTATAAGTTTCTTGCAAAAGTTCCTGATAAAAAATTAGAAAAAAATAAAATATAATTTTTATTTTTGGCATAAAACTAAATATTAAAATACTTTATTATATGCTATTGTGATAGCTATAGACATCATAGACATGATTTTGGTTGACACTTGTTTAATGTTAATTTTTGACCATTTTGGAAAATTTTTGACAATTCAATATTTTTTTCTCCCTTCCTATTTAGACTACATTGCTGAGACTTGAACCAGTAGAACCCAATTTCATATACAACTAGTCAAAAAAGTTTGATTGAAATCGAACCAGTTTTCAATTATTGCATATTTAGGCATTAAGATAGGTTTGGTAGGGTAGGTTTGGTCATTTCTACGTTGGTTTTAATGAAATTTACAAAAAATGAATTCGTACATAATGTAATGGATAGTTTTATCATTTCATCAGGAAAAAATTTAGAAATATATAAATTCAAGGAAAACTTAGCTTAATAGGCAAATTGGGCTTTGCATAGTAAGCAGAGTATTTTATTCTGGTTACTACGTACAATGTTATATGTATGTGTGTGTGTGTGTGTAAAAATGTGTGTTGTACCTAGTCAGAATGCTGTACTCGGCCTACTGTGCAAGGCCCAATTTGTCGAATAGGCCAAGTGATTTTTCTATTAAATTTTTTTCACAATTGGTTTATTTGAATTGTTATATTAAAGAACATAAATTATTGACTTGGTTACGTTAGGTTGGGTAGGTTAGGTTCGGTCATATATTTACGTTAGTTTAACTTGAATTAAAAAAAAAAATCATACATAATATGGATAGCTTTATCATTTCATAGGAAAAAAAATTGAAAAAATAAATTCAGAAAACTTAGTTTATTAGGCAAATTGGGCCTTGCATAGTAGGCCGAGTACTGCGTTATGGCTACTAGGTATCGCGCACACAATTATATATTTATATAATGTGTATTTATTGTACGTATTACACATTGTATTTATATATTTGTATGTATTTTGTAAGATTTGCCTATAATTCATTGTTCTGCCTGTTAGCAGGTGATATTCCTTCCACCCCAGGTGTTAAGCAGTCATTGCAAGAGTGTAAGAGATCCAAGTGTATATCACAACAAATAAAACTGCGGTCTGTAACTTTTCAACACTGTGATGGATGTAGGTCAACTCGTGTGAGAGGTTTGCAAAAGTACAGGGAGCCCAGCCACACCGCTCATAGGTAGCTCCACTCTTCTCTCTGACTCTTCTCACAGATTTGAATATTAAGCTGTCCACAGTGCAGTGCCACTGGTTTGGTACAAAGTCACTCGTGTCAAGTGAGGTGGTATGTGTGCCAAGTACACTAGCAATTGCTCCAGTGGTGCTAATTCATAGAACAGTGACTCATACATGGTATAGTAAATCCTGTACATGGTATGGTGGCACTTGTATATGGTACAGTGGTATTTATTAATTTTGCAATTGTATGTTACACTGGCACTTATGCATGGCACTTTTGATCAGTGCCACTTGTACAAAGCTTGGTGTCATTTGTGACATGTACAGTGTTGCCCATACCAGTACAGTGTCACGTATTCAGCATAGTGCAAGTGCAATGCTACATGTACTAGGTATAGTGCCATTTGTGCCAAGTATATATGTAATTTAACAGGAATACTTATGCTAGGTACATTGCCACATGTTTCAGCTACAAAGTTCCTTTGTGCCTGGTATTAGGCAAAATGTATCGAGGATTATACATTTTTGTGACGCATGACAAATGGCCCTTCGTCATGTGAAATATTAATGACGTGATGCCACTTGTGCTAGGTACCATGTTACTTTGTGCCCAGCATATTGCAACACGTGCCCAGCATGTAGTGCCTGTTGTTGTTGTATAGTACAGTGTCACTTGCGTTGGGTGAAGTACTTTGTGCCCATAATAATAGAACTTGTGCATAGTGCAATGTTATATGCCAAGCAGTTTCACTTGCACCCAGTACAATGTCAGCTGTACTCAGCAAAGTTTACTAGTGTCTACTACAGTGCCACTTGTTCTTTGAAAAGTGCCATTATTATCCAGCACAGTACCACTTGTGCCTAGTGCAGTGCCAAGTGAGCTAAGTACATTTTACTTGTGCTAGGTACAGTGTCACTTTTTGCTTGGCATATTAACTTTACACCTAGCAGTGTCACTTGTACTTAATAGTGCCACTTTTGCCCAGCACAGTGACTTGTGCCAGCATAGTGCCACTTGTTCCTGACAGTGCCACATACGCTGGTACAATGCAACCTAACCAACACGTTCCTTGGGTCAGGCGGTGTGGCCCCTAAACAATACACTGTCAATCTTTTTTTTTTTTTCCCAGTCTCCCATTCATTGGTTATGTCACCAAACATTTCCTAGCATTTTGAAAACTCATAAATGTTAATATTGAATAATAAACTTGCATATTTTATTTTACATGCATATTTTCTTTTATTACATAGTAGGAATGTAGAAAACAAATTAGGCTGCAATAATGTGTTAATTACTGTGTATGAATTGCCATACGGTATATTTTCTGTACAACAGCTAATTCGTAGGAAAGAAATACTATCCAATAAATAGGGAGCCTTTTTTTTTTTTTTTTTTTTTTTTTTTTTTTTTTTTTTTTTTTTAATAAAGCCATGGTCATTGCCAATCTCTCATTTTAATTCTGGAAATACTTTTAAAGAAAGCATTTTATATGTAAATAAAGGGATTGCTACAGTGGCATACTGATTTTCTTTTAAGATTTCTGAATATTTCCTTTGGAATTATATTGTATTGTGTATATAGAAAAGTAAAAAGTGACAAAGGAAATATAAGAGGATAAGTGATATTAGGATTTAATGTGTAGCAATGCCTTGTTCACATCTATTCAGCTTGGCCATAAACTTAGTTCATTCACTTTTCAAATCATTATTTTAATTTTAATGTCCACTGATTATATCATGCCACACTTAATAAGATTCTTGTCCTCCACTGCCAGGTATACACAATGCTATAAATATAAATGAGCCATTTAAAATGAATCACAAATTGCAAACGGGCCCAAGTCCAATATAACCACTCAGATTGCACGTACAGTACAGTACTTGCAAATAAGAAAATGGTTATGCATCAACAGGAAATTCATATAGAACTTTATACTGGTTGTGGGCACAAGTGAGATCATGGTTTAGCTCTAGAGGTAGTAATAGCATATTGGAATGCTAAGGATGGTAATTGTTTAATCAAGTGCATTGAAATTGCTACTAATATTTTGTCAACTATCCATTTCACAAGGATACACTTGAACACTAGCACTATTCATCAATAAATAATAACACACCAAATATGTTTTGAAAATAATCGGCCAGTAAAGATGTATTGGGAAGAGTACGAAAAAATCAAAGATGTAAATAATGGTTAAGTATATATATTTTTGTTAGTTCTTGATTTGACGTGTGTGAAATCAACTGCATATTTCTAAAAGATATTGTTAAAGCTAATGAAAGCAAAATCCACAAGACTCGCTCAACTTGGTTCGTGCATAACCAATCACATTCTGCAGTCCAATTTGTATATTTCCTCTAGTGTTGATTTTGGATACTGTATTCTGTATGCTTTCTGGAAAAGATGTTTTTGAGTATTCCTTAATTGAGCACACACGGCTTAAATGTTGACAGACTTTGCAAAATGAAATGTTAGCAGTTAATTGTCACACTTTATTTACTCTCAAAGTTATCTCCATAAAGCCCGTACTTCTGGTTAACTCGTAATAAACAATTTATTGTAAAATTCATGTGTGACTAATATGA